TAGAATATTGCAAAAGATTTTAAAATATTAAGCAGTTTTCAACATTGATTAGAATTGTTTTTTTTTACATGATACTGAAAAACGAGAGTAATGGCTGCCAAATATTTAGGATTGGCATCACAGAAATAAAAAAATAAATTTAAAGTGTAATAATATTGCACTATATTGACCTTATTGATCAATAAATGTAGCCTTGGTGAGTCAAACAAGACAATTATGTCAGTGTAGTGTAGTTTTGGTAGTGTACATGATGATTACACTATAAACCTGCTGAAATTAAGCCACATTGTTTTAATAAAAGCAATCATTTCATCATCTTTTATTAGGAACAGCTTTATTGTTGATTATTTGATTATGGCACTGAACCCATTGAGGGGGTCAGAGCCTTGTCAAGCTGGAAATGAAATGTTTTATTAAAACTCTAAGTATAAAACAGTCAGTGAACCCAGAGATTATTGTAATCGAGCACAACTAGAGCCGCTGACGGGGAAGGTGATGAGAAGAGCAGGTTATCAGAGCTGATTTATAAGTGTTTCTAGCATTCAGACTGAGCCGTGTGGACCCAGACTGCAGTGGAGAAGGCGACCCCTGGTCAAGTGCCTGTGTCTGATGACTTAATTAGGGTCAGAGTCTGGGACACTGGTCGACTGAGGGGACGCGGTTAGACAATAGCACTCTGGGATGGGCGCAATCAGCATTTACTCTTGTCTTTTGTTCATGTGACAGCACCAGATATGCTTTTGTCAAGTAACAAAAATTAATGTTTTTTGTTTTTTTTTACCAGTTTTGTGTATAATGCATTTTAGGAATTATCTTGTCCTGTCTTTCAAATCCTTCTACAACTACCCCTTCTTCCTAAAACCACTGGTCCGAGCTCAGATACCCAACACTAAGGGAAAGGTGATAGCTGACAGTGGGAACTAATCTGCTCTATTGATCAGTCTGTCAGCCAGTGACTTCAGTCAGTGGAAGGACAGGCACACATCCATTAACCCATTATATTGACAAGAAATGATTTTTCCAGTGCAAACCTTTTACTTTTATCCAGTAGTATAGATTTCTTTCCTACCATAATGTGAAAGGTGTACGCAGTGCTTCTTTTGTATAATTAAAAAAAAAGGTAATACATTTAAGTAATATTACACAAACGAGTGCTGTTGTTTTCTCGGCCTACACCCTACAAAGTCATAATATAATTGAGCATTTCCAAGCAGTGGGGTTCTGTCTCTGAATTAATCAGCGTTTTTAAAGGAAACGATTGAGGGATAGATTCAATGATGCACTAATAAAGACATTGATTGGTTTTAGAAATCCAGAGAGTAGGCATAGAGGTTTATATTTGGTTCTAACTGAGATAAATGCCATAAATGTATTAAATTCTGGATTTTGGCCCGATTAGTTAAAATAGTCAAGAAACGGATGTTGAAATAGTCTTTTCTTCAACTACTGTGATGTATGAAACAGATTCTCGAACAAGAAAAATAAAAATGTAGGACGAAACTTGATTTTGTCCATCAGGAATAGTTTAGATCATTGAGGTTTGCTATTGCTATCCAACCTGATCCCACGGGAATTCGTACGAATTTTACGAGGTGGCTAATTCGTAACAATTCGTACGACCTCACTCGTACGAATTAGTACGATTTTTGCTAAATCGTGCATATTTTACAAATTGGGCAGTACGTATGATCTACCCCTAACCCGCTCCTAAACCTAGACAAATCGGGTTTAGACAAATCGTACGAATTCGTATGAGTGAGGTCGTATGAATTAGTACGAATTAGCCACTTTTTAATCACTCGTACGAATTGGTCATGAGATAGCGATGGGGGATCTCACGTGAGTGACAGGTTGTCCCGTCCTCGCGCTGAAAAACATATTATCAGAGAAGAGAAGAGACGTTGCTAAAATCATTTACAGATAAATTCTGGAGTTTTCCATTAAAATTTTGATTTTATTGGGAAATAGAGTACTTCTATTATGGCTCTGTTAATGTTTCTTGTCTCATCTGACTGATAATTACAAATTACATTGCATGAATCATGCAGATTATGTATTTCCAATTCAAAATGGTGAAATTTGATGAAAATAAAGGGTAACGCTTTATTTTGATCGACCCTTTTGGACATGCTGTGGACAAGTAACTTTGCAACTATACGTCAACTATGTCTTATTAGAGTATTAGTAGACTGTTTGTTTCATATCTGCTAACTCTTTATTGTGATGCTCCTCCAACAGACTATAAGCAATTTTGCAACTTTTTTGTCAACTACTCAAGTCTACTAATACTCAACTTACACTCTAATGAGAGTTAATAGACATGTAGGTGCAACATTATTATAGTCAACAGAATGTGTTAAAGGGACCACCCAAATAAAGTAGTTTGCCGTCAGTCGTGTAACATTTCTATCCTAAAACTGTTGTCAAATATTAAACGTTTAGCTACTTTATCTTTGCACAGGCGGATGAACAGAAAAATCCCAGTGCTGTTGGACTGTCATATCAGCATTTTTAAGGAACAAAACAAAAGGAAAATAAACAGATTTGGTGTGAAGTAGCAGCATTTAATCAACTGAGTTTCAAGCTTTCACACTAACAGCTGTTTGTAAGTCCACTGGAATGAAGAAAAAGCAATGAAAAGTATGTTATTTTCTTCTTCTTTCTGACCAGTCTGTCAGTAATACTAGTGTTTTTAGCATCTGCCAATGAAGAGCTCTGGGGTTTGGTTACTGACATCTGGGGATTGGTCACTGGCGTCTCTGGATTTGGAGATCAGAGCACGTATCCCAGGGGGCGTTGATAAAAGTCTTGACTTCAGCTTTCACACAGAATCACCACATTATGTCACTCCGCCAGCGCCCTCCTTCAAACACGGAGAGAAATGGATCCAATTGTTGCCCACAAGTCTCTCCGTCATTGAATATTTATCACCTCCATGATATTGGAAAAAGGTTCTTGAACGGCAGCCCGCCTCAGGGGCAGGGAATTCAACACCCTATTATAGAAGAAGAGCAATATGGCTGTCATCAGCTTCCCCTTGGTTGTGTTTAATTAATTATCTGTAGCCCCCCTGATCGAGCCCCCCTTTAAACGCTTCCCTTAATCCCAAAGACATGTCTGAACACATATATTTTAGCTTTAAAGACTGTGGTAATGCAACAGGCTTAGTTTTAGTCAAATTAATTTTTTATGTACTAGCTTATAATAAGATCTGTAGCTGTATCAAGAGCGAAAGACAAAGTAAATAGATTGTATTACAGTATCCTCTCTTGAAATGACAGCTCATTCGTCTATCTCTGTATCAATCCCTCAGGCACATATCATAATACCCTTTTCTGGACGTTTCACAGTCTCTTGATAAACAGGAGCTGAGCATTTGTTTTTACAGAAGGGAAATGCCCTTGTTACACATTCACCTTTAATATATTAATTTTTTTTTCTTATTACTTTTGTTTTTATTGAGACTCATCATGGTGCTCTAATCCTCCAGCTGTGTGCGTTTAAGTTCGAAACGGCTGTGGTGTTAGAAGGATCGATTTTCTACAACAGGAACATTAGCGATTCTCGAGTTGAGGGTATTAAACTCCAATCATTGTGTTCTATTGTTTGGCATGTCATATTGATTATCTCCCAGGTTTCACTGGCACAAGTGAAATATTGGAACCTTCAACTGCCATGCACACGAAGAATAATCTCGCCTCTGTAAATGAATAGGTGTGCTCTTGCTTATTGGGACATCAGGTGGGATTAAATATCATTTTTTGGATGATTGCATGGAAGACTGGAAAAAAATACATACCTATCAACCTATATTGCTGTTAAATTTATTTATAACTGTTTTCATATCTGGAATTGCTGCTTTATTTCTAGTAAATGCAACTTTTACCACACAATGACTTTGTCTCACAGTTATGACTTTATACATTTAGTTAATTAACAGACTTGACTGTAATTGACTGTAATTGACTGTAAATTTGCTATTATTAAGTACTTAAATAGAGATTGGTCGAAGTTGTTAAATTGGATCTGTACAAATAAAAAATAAAAATTCATTTGCAAACATTTGTATTTTAATTCGTTTTTATTGCATTTTTATACATAATTTCATTGTTATTTAACACAGAAAAATTATATATTAAAAGAGAATTACTGTAGATAGACATTATTTACATAAATGTACAGTTTAACTTGAAAGTTAAATTACTTTTTAATGTATTTTGACATAATTTATCAGTTTTTCCACGGTTTAATAAGCCATTATCAACAGTAATATACTGTAATTTAATCAATTTTGACTGTAAAGTAAATTCTGTATTTTTACGGTTTTGGCAGCATGTAATTTTGTGAAATGGTAATTTGCTGTAATTTAACGGAAACGGAAACTTTGCTGCTAGAGATTTGCCTTTTTTTATGGGATTTTTTTTTTTACAGTGTACCATGTGACTTTATATCTTGCTATATGACTTCATATCTTGCAATTGCGCGCTTTATTTCTTGAAAGTGCAGCTTTATATCTAACAATTATGTCTATATCTCACAATGTGACTTCATATCTCCGATCTTCATTTTATCTCACAATTTTGTGTTATTTATTTTTTACTCTGAGGCAGTTCTACAGTATGTTTGTGTTTAGGGATGAGATACGGGTCTCTCTGAAGGCATGGATAAACACCTCACAATCCAATAAATATAAAACGAGTCTGGCTCATGTATGTTTTTATGTGTGGAGCGAGGAAGGGCCTGAGGCAGTTTCTTGTCTTTGCAGAGTGAATTGTCAGCCTAGTGTGGAGGTCAAAAAGTGAGAAATGCATCAACCTTTCGTGAGTAGCCCACGGCTAGCCTGTCCATTCAGCAGACAGCCTCTGACACCGATAGCACACAACATGTTAATAAAAACCCCTGTAAAGTTCCCCTGAACCAGCAAGGGCTTTGACAGAAACAGATTTTCTATCATAAATTTGGCCGTTCTCACTACCCCTCATTATTTTATGCCTTTGCAGGAGAGGTTGCCTCGAGGGAAGCCCGGTGGCAAACTCCTACAGTATGACCGGTTTCGATCTCGTCACTCGCCTGGGACACTCTGTGCATAATAAAGATAAACTTACTTGCTCTAGCACCAATCGATATTGTAATCCACAGTTACATTCACTGAGCTATCTCTCGCTTGCATGTCATTAAAACAAAAAATGCCCTTAGACATGTATATAAATAAGTCAAATGTACAAGTATTGGCGAATCTTCACAGGGATCATACTCTAGGTGGTTTGTTATAATATAATATAATTTGTGTATAATTTTTGTTATTAAATTAACATTTTTGTGTGCGAGTGGATAATTAGATTTTCATGCCCAATAATTATGCAAATACTATTTACATGACTGAGAGCATCCATGCATTTTGTATTCGACATTAGGATTCTTAATATGAGTGATTGCATTTTAATTTGAGGATATAATAATCCAAGCATACTGCATGAGACTCAGACCACTGAAGGGTTTAAATAAATTAAAGGGGTCATGACATGGCTTTTTTATTATTTTAATATATTCCTTTTAATACATTCCCATTTTTGCACACAATAACCCCCCCCCCCAAATAAATGTGGAAAAATGATTGTTATCAATTCCCTTTGTCTAAAATGATTTTTTTAAAGGATTGGCTCCATTAAGGCTTGTCAATAAACAGCCACTGTTCTGATTGGCTAACGCCACTGCATACAAAACGGTATCAATGTCCACTTGCTATTGCATGCACAATCAGTTTTTTGAAAACATTATAAAACCATAATTTGCATTACAAAATAACTTACTTATATTCGTGATGCAGCTGCTGACAGATTTAGTTTAAAGACCTCTTCATCTTTTAGCAAAAGTTTCTTTGTGAACTCTCCATTACACTGTTTCTTGTTTTGCAAAACAAAATGCCCTGAACAAACATATTTCCGACATGATCCGGAATGCCATTTTTAAATAAAGCATCCACTTGTTCCTGAGTCTGGAATCCTGCCTATATACAAACTGCAAGGTGTGTAGGGCTCCAGAAAGACCAGGGGGACCCAATACTATCAAATAGTATTTGATATTAATTATACAAATATTATTTATAAGTAGCATATCACTGTGTAATGTAAACATATTTTTTACAACATGCAAATATAAATGCGGATTCAACATTAGCAGAATCTTGTAGAAATTTCTTTTTTCTAAAACTCAATTCATATTTATTTACTGTAATAACTGTTTTGGACTCGGACATCATGTATTGTGGCGGATAATGACATGCGTCTTGACATATGGTTATGGCTTCCAAACGAAGCTATCTGTCCGGACCAAAAACAATATGAAAATCCTTTCAGCTGTGTGTTATAGTTTTTCTGACAGCTAGACGATTAGATTAGACTGCAGATTATAGCGGGTTTTATTTGCTTTTGACACAAGAGTTTAGCCGTTAAGCGACTTAATGCCATTGGGTGATAATCGATTTCTTATGCAAACGTATTTGTCCGTGTGACGTCACAAATCCCACACTGTAAAAAATATTTTCAAGATTTGTTATCACAACATATTTTCTTTTGTCAAATCAACTTTATAATAATTTATTTAGTTGAGAACTTATTATTTTGAGTTTCTGATGGTTAAATTAATCTACTTCATTGTATTAGCTCACTTTTTCCAGTTCAATCAACTTAAAATTTTAAGGCAACCCAGGTTACTTACTTTTTTAAGTTAAACCAACAATATTTTTTTACAGTGTAGTAATCACAACATTTTTTCTTTTGTCATCAACTTAAATAATTTATTTAGTTCAGATAACATATAATTTTGAGTTTCTGATGGTTAAATTAATCTCCTTCTTTGTATTAACTCACTTTTTCCAGTTCAATGAACTTAAAATTTTAAGGCAACCAGGTTACTTACTTTTGTAAGTTAAACCATCAATATTTTTTTTACAGTGCACAATATCCAAACAAACCATTTTTGTAGTTGATTTGATTAAATGAAACTTGCAGGATGTTTTAATGGTACAAAGACCTCTTTTATGTCCAGAGATCAAGGCAAATTTGATTTCCCATGCAATGACCCCTTTAACAGGGTCCCATAACATTTCACCAGTTATTATTTTGCACAAAATAACCAACTTGATTTGATTCAATTGAATTTTTTTGTTGTCTCTAATTGTTGATTTAAATCTAAACAGGTGTTTTCATCCATATTTAATTATTTGCACCTCTTCCATACACTGAGTTGCATCCTGGTAGGTGTTAGTGTCACCGAGTGTTGAATATTGATGAAACCGAAAGACCTGAAATGACAGTCTCTCCATGGCGGCCACCCCCTCCTCCTCCATCTCTCGGCAGGATTCAGAGAGAAGCTAATGGCCATGCAATGCCTGTCATAGTTTCAAAAGCACTGCCTTTGTTCCAGCACTGCTTGGCTCTACACCCCCCGATAGGCCCAGCCCTTACTAAAAATGTCAGCGAATATTGATTTGGTGGGAAGCAACAAAGACTTCACTAAATGATAGCTCCCTTTGTGCTGCGGCGATGAAAGGGCTAGACCTTTCTCCGGAGTGCTTCGATGATGCTTAGTCCATCAATATTTCATATCCGTCTTACACGACAAAGTGAAGACAAATTGACAGAAAGGGTTTTAATACACATCAGAATATTTTTATTGTGGGCTGAGATTAAATATTCAATCAATTCAAGTTAAATAGACTTGTTAAATAGAAATTGTTGCTACTATTTTGTTTGTTTTTGTTATCTAATACTTAACTTAATACTGTTTCCTGAAATCTAAGTACATTCTCACCTACACAATAAGCAGTATAAATGCTACCTGATGATATTAAAAGAATGTAAGAGGATATATATAGAGATTTTCCACTGACTCTTTATGTTTTTCCAGTGTAGACTTCAAAAGGCACAGAATCAGGGTTATGGGGGTTGGGTTGTGTTGCTTCATCTGTAAAAATGCAAATGAAATGTCCTCGATTCCCCATTTGGCTTTGTATATAGGTAGTACTCTGTAGTGTTTATTATGTGACTGCTGACTGCTTGTTACTAAAACATTTATTTTTTACAGTTTAATCACATCTTGTTAAATGGACTGCTGCCGTTACAGCAAGAAGTATAGACATGTTGCAACAGGGCAAATCAAGCTATTTGCATGTATTTAGATCAGGGAGAGACTAATGGAAAACTACACATAAAAAGATTGTTTGTCCAGAGCCTTGTCATAAAGTTACAAATAATTTTAAAAATCTAAGATTTGTTATTTACATACAATTACTTACCATTCCTCCAATTTGAAATGTTATCTTTCATTATTTAATTCTGAATTTAACTATATAGCTTTGTCCGAGCTTTGTGACATGGTGCATTATCCTGCTGGAAGTAGCCATCAGAGGATGGGTCTGTGGTGGCCGTAAAGGGATGGACGTGATCAGAAACGATGCTCAGGTTGGCCGTGGCATTTAAACGATGCCCAATTGGCACTAAGGGTCCTAAAGTGTGCCAAGAAAACATCCCCTACACCATTACACCACCACCACCAGCCTGCACAGTGGCAATTAGGCATGATGGATCCATGTTCTCATTCTGTTTACGCCAAATTCTGACTCTACCATCTGAATGTCTCAACAGAAATCGAGACTCATCAGACCAGGAAACATTTTTCCAGTCTTCAACTGTCCAATTTTGGTGAGCTCTTGCAAATTGTAGCCTCTTTTTCCTATTTGTAGTGGAGATGAGTGGTACCTGGTGGGGTCTTCTGCTGTTGTAGCCCATCCGCCCAAAGGTTGTGCGTGTTGTGACTTCACAAATGCTTTGCTCTATACCTCGGTTGTGACGAGTGGTTGTTTCAGTCAAAGTTGCTCTTCTATCAGCTTGAATCAGTCGGCCCATTCACCTCTGACCTCTAGCATCAACAAGGCATTTTCGCCCACAGGACTGCCGCATACTGGATGTTTTTCCCTTTTCACACCATTCTTTGTAAACCCTAGAAATGGTTTTAAATTAGGTATTAAAACAGCATCAAATGTTTCACTGATTGTCTTGGAGCTGGTAATGTGACAGAATGCTTCCTTTGCAATGTCTTGCATGACTAGCTTTCAATTACACCTCTGTTTGAAAATGGCAGAAAACTCATTAGAGATCAGCTGAGTGGAAATAGATGCTATCATATTAATGGAACAAACACTGTAGTGCTTGCCCAACGAGTTTTAAATAAAAAATAAAACGTTACATTTTAATCTTACTAGTTTTATTTGTTCTTTTAGCATGACACACTCGTTCTCTGAAGGTCAGCCGGGAGTATATAATGTGCACATCTCCCAATATCTTAATTGTATCTCATTTATGTCTTTTAATCGAATATTTTTGAAAGACCAGTGGTTTATCGCCATCCTTGATTGAAACCTCTTTGATAAGAGCAACGTTTTCTGTGGCAACAGCCTTAGGGAACAGTTACACAACACCATTTTCAACTAAAAACATTTGACCACTCATTTTGCATGTTGACAACGGCGCTTTGGGGGCCTGAAAACACAAACTTCTTTGTGCAAGTTTATGATACCAATATAGCCTTTTTTTATTTTTGTGAAAACGGTGACCATGCACATGTGTATTATGTGTTCAGTCTATAGGCGCGTAGTTTTTCTATACAAAGTTACGTCGTCAACCACTGCCCTGGCAGCAGAATACAGCGTTTTAGTCACTTTAACAGATCGGGGATCATTTTAATGTTATCGTCTGATTGTGAAAAAAATGCAAAGGTCATTTTTTTTCCCACATACATAGTTTTCCTAGGAACCTACCATAAACTGCAAAGGTGAAAAGCTTCTGGGAGTCAGGATTCAGGTAATGGAAAGAGACATGTTCAACAGCAGCAATCTGTATCGGTTTAAGAAGATGCATTGCAGTGGGCCAATAAACTGCATCACGTAAAGAGCTCTACATGCAAACCGAAGCAGTGAGGCACTAAAATTGTGGTTTGAAGAAACTATCAATATTGCATTTGTGGGATTTGGTGAATCTTCCGCATATATCAGGTTCTAAAATCATGGAGAGGATGAATGGATATATCAAACAAATAACCACATCTTCACTGATCCATTCTTCCACTTCAGATCCAAAAACCTAATTCGTTTTGCTATATAGAAACTGCATCAGATAACAGCTTCCTTCAACCCCAGTTTCAGTGGCCTTTACTATGTTTAATTTAAAATAAAATTCTGTCATCATTTACTCATCCTCATATCATTCCAAACACACATGCATTTCTTTCTCCCACTACAGAACACAAAGAAGACATTTTTTGGGGAAATCTATAGATTTTCTGTATATTTCACTGTAACATTTATCATCAGCTCCAGGACTAACACA